CCTGTCGAATTCCGTCTTGTGCGCCAGGTGCGCAGGCTGGTTGCCGACGCGGGTTCGCGGCGCCTGCAGCGCCCCCGGTGGCGACGCAATCGAAGACATTGCTTCCACGCAGTCGCCCTCCAACCACTCCGCGGCGTTCGCCCTCGGCACTGGGCACACGCAAGCCTCACCTTCTGCACTTACAATGCGTACTGCTCAGATCCTCCGTGATGTTGTGCTTCGTCCCCGCCAAAAGCTACTCCACTCCACTCTCTTTTTCTTGACTTTGGCTTCCCGCCTGACAGGTCTCGATGGCGCCTGCAACGGTTCCGATTCGGCGTCGCGACGGTCCTCTTCCCGATGTGTTCCGCGATGCCCTCTAACCACCTCACGGCACGGGCCTGCGCCGCCGACGCCTGCACCTGCCCCGCGAGGTCCTCCGCGCACCTGTCCGCTAATTCGTTGCCAACCGAATTGAACACGCAAGTGCCCGAGCTGGTCCCCCCGCCTCCGACACGTGACTCAAGACCATGTTTTTTGGGGGATAACACACGTTATCCTGGGGGGGACGGGGGCCGGGGGGGTAAGGGTAACGGGGGCCGCGGCGCGCACCCCCCGAGGCGCGCCTACGTCGTCGTTATCGTCGTCGTCGTCACCTTCGTCGTCGTCGTCGTCGTCGTAGTCGTCGTCGTCATCGTCTCGTCGTCGTCGTCCAGGCCCACAATGCCTGTGCACACAACGCGGGCTTTGTACACCACAATGCCCTTGTGCACCAGAACTGCTGCAGAAACGGTACGCGTGTGCACCACAACGAATGTATACACCTTACCACCCGCGTGCACCACAGCTCCTTTGTACACCACACTACTCGTGCACAACACGGCGCCCGTGTGCCCCAGAGTTGCTGTTTCAATTCCCCCTGTGCACCATGCTGCCTGCGCACACCACAAAACTTATGTACACCTGACGGTACCGACGGAGCCAAACTCTGGAAAATCGTTGGGGGCCCGAACGTAAGAAGTTCAAAATGTGAACTGATTGCGATTCAATGTTATTCTGGCCCAAGAAACGCTCTGATATTTTGCGCCCACAACGCTTGTGGACTCCATAACGACTGCGCGCGTCATGACAACTGCGCGCACCGCCGAACCCGTGAACACCGCGCGGCTTGGGGGCGCGCGGAACGGCGTCAGCCAAGGGAATACACGCAGGAGAAGCAGGAGGAACAGCAGCACCAAAAAGACGAGCAGGAGGAGTAAAAGGAACCCCGCGATGGGGTCGACAGCTCGGGGCCCGCGTTTCTTCCCAAGAACATTGCAAAGATGCACGCCATCATCTACCAGCAAGTACACCTCTACGGCCCCGCCGGGGCCAAAAACTGGCAAATCGCTGGGGGCCCGAATGTATATTTTATATGCGATACGACTGATATTGAAAATTTGACGGAAATTCCGGGCCGATTTCGGTGGGCGGCCAAGTTACCAAGTTCCTGGCTCTGGTGTCCCAGGTTCCCGGCTTCGGGTTCGAAGCCGAGTTCGGTGGGCGGCGGGGTTCCCTGGTTCCCGGGTTCCTGGTCGATCTTCTTATATACCGGTCTCACCATCGATCTCACGACCCACCGCTGTACCGATCTCACCATCGATCTCACAATATCACAATCGATATCACTGTAGGTCGTACGAGCGATCTCACGATCGATATCACTATCGACCTCATCGAATCGACTTCACGATCGGCCTCACGATCGAACTTACAATCGTCCTCACTATCGATTCCACAATCGATCTCACAATCGATCTCAATATCCATATCGTTCATTTTCAAACCATCCACTGATTGGGGTGGAGTTGGTTTTTCTGGCCCGAGGAACGCTGGAGCATTTTGAACCCACAGCGAATCTGAAACACAACGCCTTTGTGCACCACAAGTCCTGTGCACCACCATGCTTGCGCACGCCACGCTGCCTGCGTCCTGTATGCGCAAGGAGGACGACGACGAGGACGAAAATGAAGAGGGAGGGGGAGGAGGAACAAGTAGGAAGAGATGCGTGGGACCATCTTGATCCACAACGAACGCTCACATCATAGCGACCTTGCGCAGTTCAGCGATTATGTACATCACGGCGCCTGTATACACCGCAGAATTTGTGATGCGTATGCCACAATGCTTGCGTACACCCACACCCACCGTGCGTATGTACACCACAGCTGCTGTTGCTGCAACGATATTTGCGTGCGCCGCACCGACGGTGTACACCGCAGTGCCTGCGTACACCATAATGCACGCCCGCGTGCACCGCAGCGCCAGTAGCGCCCGCGTGCACAACAGGCCCTAGCCTGCCCGGGATCGCGCACTGGACCAGGCCGGGGCGTTACCGTCACGGGGGGGGTAAGGGGGGCAATCATGTTTCATCTCCTGGGCGTGTGGAAAAAAATCCTCTCGACCTAATGGCTTACACATGCCTGCCCACGATCTCCTACTTGACTATCTCCCACAGGTCCCACTGCGTCTGAAGCGCCCTGCCCGCTCCAACCTCGGCCACGCCTCGCACCGCGCACCTCGAGTCCGCAATGCACCCGGTCCGCCAGAAACCCGTCGCGTAGATGAGCAGCTCCTGCAAGGCCATGAGCTCGCCGCGGTGGACGCTCTGCCTCCACCACGTGAGCCCGCCTCTCCCACCAGCCACGAACATGGGCTCCACGCGCGCGGACCCCAGCACGACCCAGCCTCATGCGACGCGGCGGAGCCGTGGATCCGGCGCACGCACCACTCCTGACGCATCGCCTGCAGCGAGGAGCCACGCCCCCTTGCCCACGAAGCCGAACTCGCCAAACTGCTCCCCCAGCTCTTCTCCAGGTTAAGGCTGCGGCGATACCTGCGCCCAGCTTCTCGGCAAAATGCCGCGTAGCCACGGGCGCGGTTGGCCTTCCACTTCTTCGAGCGCCCTTGCAACCGCGTCCTTGGTCCTCTCTCGCCCCTCGCTATCGCGCGATCCCGCGCCTCTTCTTCTTCGCCCTTCGCCGCGCCCCGGACACAAGACGCCTGCGACCTCGGCGCCCAGGTCCGAGGCCCGCTTCCTTGGCCACGCCGCCCCTGACAGGATGGCCCACAGCGCGCCTGCGGTCTCGCGCTGACCCTTGCCCCTGAGCTCGCGCATCACCGCCCACGACGACTGCGGGCCCGCCCCGCGCCCCAGGCCTGCGCCCCGGTCGAGCAGAGCGCATGCCATCGCCCCTCGCGGCGCCCGCGACTCCTCTCCACCTGTCCCGCGGCCCCCCCGCGCAGAGCGCCGCCGCCGCGACGCGCGCCCGCGAGCCCAGCAGCGCGAACAACGCCCGGCGCCCAGACCCCCACCCCAGCCCCAGCTGCACGAACGCAGCGAGGCGCCGCCCCCGAAGCCTCGGCGCGACGAAACCCGCCAGCCCGCGCCCACATTCGAGCACCACCGACGGCGCCACATCAAACACTTTGCGCGAGTAGGCCGCTTGCGGAGGCGCTCCACGACGCACCGCAGCACGCGCCACGCCCACGGCCGCCCCACAGCACCCCGGCGGCCCTCTCCACTTGACGGCTAGCGCGAGCCACCAGCACGGCGCGCTTGCCCTTCCATCCGCCGACGCTGCTCCGATCGATCCCAAGGTCGGCCGCCCGCCCCTTAAACTTCACCGCGATGTCGCGACTTCGCAGCTCGAGCGCAATCTCCTGCACCGCCGCCTCGTCGTCGCCGATGACTGCCGACGCTGTGGGCAGGACCAGCTGCGCCATCTTGCCGCCCGGTGCAAAGCACGCCCAAGCACCTGTCAGCGGCTTGATCACCGCCGCCATGGATCCCATTAGGCCCGCTGTGACGTCGCCCACCCGCGCGCGCGCGCACCTGAACTTGCCGCTCGCCTCCTCTAGCGCCGCGCACGGCACCACCCTCTCGGAGCCGATCCCCCCTCTCGCCCCTGCGCAGAGCGACCTGTCAGGCATCGCCAGTTCCGCGCGCGCCGCCCCCTCCCTCGCGAGCCTCGCGCCGAGGCGACCAGGCATCTCCGACCGGGCGCAGAGCGCGCGCCGGCAGCCCCGGCCGCGGCCTTTCGCCCAGGATGAGCAGAGGCTCCGGCGTGTCGCAGAACACGGCGAGGCCCCACAACACCGTCGCAGCGTAGATTGTCCGCGGCGCCCACTCGACTACCTCGTCGGCAAACGAGCTGACGATTGGCCTCCTTCATCGCGCCGTTGCCCGCGATAGCCCCAGCTTGATCGCGCCGATGCTGAAGTTGAGCACCTCGCCTCTGCCGCGATAGCCCCCCCTGGCCGTCGGCTCGAACATAACACGAGGGCCGCGACGTAAAACTGCTCCACCGCATGCGCCCAACTGCCGCATGGGGCGCCCATGGCGCCCGCACCACTGCAGTCGAACTGATTGGTCGCCGCTGCCTTGACGTAGTCTGGGGGCGACCTCCACACCCTCCTGTTCTGCTCCTTCGCGATTTTGTATTTGACCTGCCAGAGGGCGCCGCGCTCCTCCTCCGTGAACTCGAAAGCCTCCTCGGCCCCCTCTTGCTCAGATCGGCGACCTCGATTCGATGTTGGCCTCCCCCTCGAACTGCCCCCCCTCCACCCCGCTGGACTCGAACTCGTCGAAAAAACTCATCCTCCTCGTTGCGCCTCTGCAGCATACCTTCGGGAGTTCCTGGCGCTGTACCTTCAGCTAGACCCTTAAGTCCTGGATGGGAAAGCTGAGGATGACCCGCGCGCGACGAAGGTACCTCGTTGCTGCTCCACTGGGTCTTGGCCTTTTTCCTGGACCGTTTGCTGCTCGGGTACGACTGGCGTTTCGGCACGTTCGGCAACGGGAACGGCTGCGGTTAAAACAACGATCTTTGCACCGCCGCCTCCGCGTCGCCCTTGATGTGTAGCCAAACTCCGTAGTAATCCCAAAGGTCGATCTGTTCCGCGCTCACCCTGTCGAGCATGACCTGGAATGACTGGGAGCACACCACGAAATTCAACATCCGGGCTGGGTTCTCGTGCATGTGAACGGCAAGCCTTCTGGTGTGCGTACGTCCGCCTGCAGGATCCGGAGCCATCCTGGTGTTTTCAACCTGCTGGGCTCGACGTTCCAGCCAATCGCGACCCAGGGCCCGCTATGGCCCCGCACCGAAGAAGCTATTGGCCATGTTCTGCTGGTTCTCGCGTCGCAAGCCCTTGGACGACGTCAAATACACGCCAGTGATCATGGCCGTCTGCCCTTTACGCCGCCACTTGAGCACCACGAGGTCCTTGAATTCGATGCGTCCCGCCTTCCACTCCTCGTCCATCTGCCTCAAGCCCACCGACTGGGTGTCCTTCGCTGCTATGTGCCGCATTGACGTCACTACGTAGTGCGCCCTAGCCGCGCCATCATGATGCCACCCGCAAGCTCGCTGAGTTTGTCCTTGTCTGCGAAGTCGCTATCGCTTCCATCCCTTACCGTCCACGTAACCCAGAATATCGTTGCTGGAAGCCCCGACATGGGTCTCTGGGAACATGATGATGCCGTCGTCCAAGGCGCTCGAGCGACCAGTCCTTGCGCTGAACTGAGAAACATTTTTTCCGTTGCGGGTTCGGTACTCGCACAAGTCGGAAGAGTCAGACGGGGATGCACAAAAGCTCCACTGCACCAGGACAGGGACGAAGGAGGGGGGAGGGCAGCCGCGGAGGGGGCCCAGCGGAGGAGGGCGGCCGCGGAGGGAGAGCGGCCTCGGAGGGAGAGAGCCGGCAGAGGAAGGCGGCCGCGGCGGGAGGGCGGCCGCGGAGGGACGGCGACCACGGAAGGAGGGGGGCCTCCTCCTCCTCCTCCTCCTCCTCCTCCTCCTCCTCCTCCGGGGGGCGTCACTTAGAACCCAGCCTGAGAAACTCTGCACAAGCACAAACGTTCGGAGGCACGTGCGGACGTCCTGGGTCGGAGCTGGACCCCCCTCGTGTGGGCGACTCCGGGCGACATCCTCAGCGGCGCTTCGCGCGCCAGAGGGGGGTGGGTCGAGCGCCGACCCGATGAACCAGCGCGGGCTTCCGAGAGCGTGTTTATGCACTGAAATGTGCCGCAAGAACGCATGATCAAGATCGGCGGCATCATCGTCGTCCTCATCATCGCGATCGTCAACGTTATCACTTTCGTCATCATCGCCAGCGTCAGCAACCTCATCGGCACGGTCATCACCGTCTTCATCACCATCGTCATAGTTCAAGCCCTGGAACAATTCCTCTAGCTCATTCTCCCTATCCTCCTCATCACAGCTGCCCATAATCACAGTCATCATCGGACCCATCTCCGTAGTCCGCCTATTGCTCCTGCTCCTTGTCAGCCACCTTCTCAGCATTACCTTCGTCACCATCATCATTGCCATAATGCCCTCTCCTCGTATGCCTGGCAATCCATCATCATCCCCACCATCAACACCCTCGCAACCCTCGACCACCATCATCAGTGGCAGCACCAGCATGAGCATCGGCAGCCTTCTCACGATCGTTATCTTCCCCCGCCCCCCCCCCCCCCCCCCCCCCCGCCCCGCCCCGCATCCTCGCCATCTATCCTCGTCATCCTGATCATTATGGTCATCATCCACATCATCACCACCACCACCACCACCACCATCATGATCACAATCATCATCATCATCATCATCTCATCATCATCATCATCATCATCATCATCATCATCATCATCATCATCATCATCATCATCATCATCATCATCATCATCATCATCATCAGCAGCAGCAGCAGCATCATCATCAGCATCAGCATCATCAGCATCATCATCATCATCATCATCATCATCATCATCATCATCATCATCATCAGCAGCAGCATCATCATCAAAAGCAACATCATCATCATCAGCAGCATCATCATCAGCAGCAGCAGCAGCAGCAGCATCATCATCATCATCATCATCATCATCATCATCATCATCATCATCATCATCATCATCATCATCATCGCCATCGTCATCAGTCATCAGCATCATCATCATCACATCATCATCATCAGCATCATCATCATCATCAGCAGCAGCATCATCATCATCATCATCATCATCATCATCATCATCATCATCATCATCATCATCATCATCATCATCATCATCATCATCATCATCATCATCATCATCATCAGTATCATCATCATCATCATCATCATCATCATCATCATCATCATCATCATCATCATCATCAACATCATCATCATCATCATATCATCATCATCATCATCATCATCATCATCATCATCATCATCATCATCATCATCATCATCATCAACATCATCATCATCATCGTCGTCTTCATTGTCGTCGTCGTCAGAAGCAGCAGCATCAGCATCAGCATGAGCACTTCTCCTCTCCCAACGATGTCCCTCATACATAGATGTGTATGTATACAATTCCTCGATGTCGCACCCCCAGACGTGTCGGTAGAGCGGACACGGCATTTCACCTGCACTTCCTCGTCCTGATGGCCCTGAAGCTTGAAACTTGCAACAATTGCACGGATGGAAGGGGGTGGGTTTGAGATGGGGCTCTCGCCGTGACGCCGCGCACACTCGTCTTATTAGCAAGCTGCAACAATGTTCGACGGATGAGGGGCGGGGAAAATGATGGGCCTCGCCCGCATGTTCGTCTCGATACGGCTCGCAAAGACCGATCGATTCAATGAGATCGATAGTGGAATCCTCGTGTGATACATAGGAGAACCCGGGGAACCCGGGAACGAAAACCGGGAACCATGCCCACCGCCCACCGAAATGGCCTGGCCCTTTCGCCAAATCGTCTAGGACCCCTTCAGTGCAAGCACTGATCGGGACTAGAGGGGGCGGTCGTTTCCAAAAGTGGGATCTCGCCGCAGCGCCGCGCACAACCGCCATCAAAGACTGCAGAGGTTCCGACCATGGAGGGGCGGGTCAAAATGGGGAGTACGCCACAGCGCCGCGCATATTCGTCTTAACAGCGCTCGCCAATCGCACGGATGGAGGGATGTCCCTTTTCAAAACAGGGATCTCGCATCAGCGCCGCGGACAGTCGCCTAAACAGTTGTAGGGGGCCACATGCGAACCCTGCCCCTACCCCCCACGATTTCTGAAGGGGAGGGTGGGGTTCACTTCGTTCGGGAGCTCCCGAGCGAAGTGAACCCCACCCTCCCCCAAAAACATCGTAGGGGGTAGGGGCAGGTTCGCATGTGGCCCCCTAAGTTGGTAACGGCTGCAACTATGGAGAGCTGCTCGGATTCAAGTGTGGCTCTCATCTGAGCGCCGCCCACATTCGCCCCAAACGAAAATGCAAGGATTGAGGGCGTGATCTTTCCACAGTGTGTGCCAGCGCTGCACCCAAGCAAGAGGTAATTGCACTGTGAGTGTGTATGCTGTGCAGTGCCAGCTACGTGATGTAAGCAATGCTGTGACACATACGTGGTGCACGTTATGCAGTGTAGTGTGTGGTGCAAGCCATGTGGCGCGACGCGCAAGCACATGTGTGGCCTAAGCTTGGAGGGCCGCCTGGCTATCGCCGTGGTGCTGAGCAGCAAGCACTGTGTCGCTTGCCTAACGCTTGAGCACACGTGACAACTGTGCCCTGGGACTAGACGATACGTGCACATGCGTTAATCTACACGAAAACGGAGCGCAACAGACCAACTGGCGGCAAAGCCTCGGGCGATCGCATCCAGGGACATATTCAAGATCAGTTGGGACCGTGGACTTGCGACTGAAGGGTGCCACTGCAGCATGCCAGTGTCGCTTGAGACGTTCCTCGGGTTAACGACCAGACAGTTGAGCACACGTGACAACTGAACGACTGAAGGCGGTTCCTTTTCAAACTGGGACTCCCGCTTCAGACTTCAACACAGTTTGTGCTTATACGTGTAAACACATGCGTTAATCTAATTGCACGGGCCTGGGGCCTGGTTCCTGTTCAAAACGGAGCGCTCGTTGAACAGACGGTAAAACTCTCTGAACTGATACGCTCACACTCCTGGCAACTGGCTAGCAATATGTATGGGAACTCCTTTTCAAAACAGGGCGATCGCATAAACGGCAGGGACGTGGGGTGTTCATCTTTAAAGACGACGCTTCCCCCGGTGCAAGAGAACGTCAGTTGGGACTTGTGAGGAGTGGACTTGCGACTGAAGGGTGTACTGCAGCATCGTTGATGTTTCCTGGGTTCACCCTGGATCTCCTCCTCCACATGCTCTGCGTAATGACCCTATCCCCCATCATTGTTCTCGCCCTCCACCTCCCTCTCCTCATCCTCCTCCTCATCAGTATGGTCATCATCAGCAGCAGCATCATCATCGTCATCATAATCAGCAGCATCTTCATCTTCATCTTCTCCATCATCATCAAAATCAGCAGCATCATCATCGCCGTCATCATCGTCTTCATCAGCAGCATCACCATCATCATCATCATCATCATCATCATCATCATCAGCAGCAGCAGCAGCAGCAGCATCCTCATCATGATCATCATCAGGATCATCACCAGCACCGCCATCATCAGCATCATCCTCATCACCATCGTCATCATCATCAGCAGCATCGTCATCATCGTCATCATAATCAGTATCATCATCCCCCACATCATCATCATCACCCTCATCAGCATCATCGTCATCAGCAGCTTCATCAGCATCATCATCTAAGTCATCATCATCATCATCATCATCATCATCATCATCATCGGCATCGTCATCAGCATCATCGTTATCGTCATCCTCATCATCAGCATCGTCATGGTAATCGCCATCGTCACCCTCAGCATCCACATCATCATCATCATCATCATCATCATCATCATCATCAGCATCATCATGATAATCATCATCATCATCATCATCATCATCACCACTACCATCATGAGCATCATCATCACCATCATCATCATCAGCATCAGCATCATCATCATCATCAGCATCATCATCATCATCAGTAGTATCCTCATGCACATCCTCATCTTCATCATCAACATCAGCATCATCATCACCACCACCACCACCATCACC